ATCTACTATTTGCCACTCTCAGTTCTGTACATTTTAATGGTAACATGATAAAAACAGAATATCCACATTTTACAAGAAATACTCAGAACGAGAAGATATCACTTCATTATCAACAAACAGTATTTTTTTGAATACTTCCAACCAAGTGAAAAATTCTAAGTATAAATGAAATTCACCATTGATTCATGGAAAGTGAGATGAATTGCAAGACAGAATATCCCAGCTCTATTCTTGGCTCTACCAAGGACAGAAAAAAACCACAAAAACCAGCAAAAGTCAAATCTCCCTGTACATCAGTTTCTCCTTCTGAAAAGAGGACTGACACCAACTCCTCCCTAATAATGTTTTTGACAAGTCAAATGAGGTAACTTATATGAAACCTCTGTAAGATTTTGAAGATAAAATTCAAAGTTTTATAGATATTATCAAACTATAATTACAAAAAAAAGCATGTAATTTACATTAAAAAAGATAAAAATAAAACTATAAAAACAACAATAATAAATTTGAACTCTTTGTACTTAAAAGGCCTGTTCAAGCACACGCTGGGGTCATGTGTTCAAATCATGTTACTCAATACTGCTGTAATTATAGTAATAAGAACCTGCCTGTCAATATTACAGCTTAATGCTAAACCAGCCCTTCTTGGTTTCCATGTAGGAAACCATGTAAGGGTTGATCATTCCCAGAAGAAAATAAGACAAGATATATGAGAGGGTTAAGAAGATTGTCTCCCCAGCAATCCCAAGGAGTTCCATGTAAAAACATCTTGCCCAAGGGTCACTAGGCACCCTGTGTGTGCTCTTCATTCTGTCAACATCCTTTCTCATTATTACAGTTTGAACTGAAATAGCTAGACTATACTAGACCTGAAAGGTGGTAGAGTCGAAAAATATAATTTAATACTGCTCTTGCTCAATAACAGACTTCCCAGAGAATCCAAAACATAAGCTCATTCGTGTTTAGGAATCCATATTTCTTAGTGTCAGGCCATCTAAGGTCTTGAATTTTTTTAACTTAAAGTTACTCTTTCAGACAAAATTTAAGATGTATTATTTTTAAAGGAAATTAAATGCTAACATAATTAGCATACTTCAGACAAATAACTTCTTCAAATAAAACCATTTTTATATTTTCCCATATTTTAAAACAGCTAAGAGAATGGTTGCATGATAGGTACAATAACAATTTTCAAACTTAGGTTTTCATTAACCCTGTAATTAGATAGCACTTCTACTTTATTAAAGACTTTGATTTTCTTTTACCCAAATAAATATTCAACTATTTACAACAACCACAAATGGCTTTGAAAGCCTTTAAAGAATAACCTGAGTCAGGTTATAAATACTAAAATTTAATTGAAAGTTGACCTTCAAGAGAATTAAAGTTCTATGCTGGACAAGAGTGTCTTTAAAAGAAGCTGACCTGATAAAGAGTAAGCATATCTGCCCTTGTTCCCCACCTTAAGGAGAAAGCATTGTATCTTCTCCATTTATACAAGGCGTTCTTGCTGGAAGTATGGAGTACATGTCATTAATTTGTTGAGAAGTTTCTGTTCTACTTCTAGTCTCCTGATAGCTTTTACCATGAACAGCTGTAGAATTTAGTCCAATACTTTTTCTCCAACTACTGACAGGATCATATGGCTTTTCCCTTTCCTCTGTTTAAATGATGACTTTTGGGGGTGGATCTTCCAATGCTGAACCAACACTGCCATCCCTATAACAAAACCACTTTCTACACCCTGCCAGATCTGACTTCTAATAGTTTGTTTTGTTAAACAAATTTCTATCTATGTTCATACTTTTTTCTTCTATTATCTTTATCCAGTTTTAGGATTAACACACCGTTGACTTCCTAAAATGAGGGGAGAAGTGTTCCTTCTTTTTTCTGCTTTAATTGTTTGATATAATTGATCAGTTAAAATGTTTATGAGCCTGCTGTTGTCATTTAGGTAGGTTTTCAAGCTAGGAATATACTTTCTTTAATAGGTGTTATTCAAATTTTATATTTCCTCCAGAGTTAGTTTCATTAATTTGTCTTCCAAGTTACTTCTTAGAAGTTGTCAAATTTATTTCAAAAAAGATTTTTGTAATATGCTTTCTATATCCTTTTAAATTCTGTAAAATCTGTGGTAATGTCTTCTAGATCTTAATATTGTAATTTAAAAAATGTATAATTGATATTGTGTAACAGGAAGAAAAGTCTAAAAGAGCAGGGGAATTGGGAGGGGTAGGGGAAGGAAAAAAAGGGAAAGGAAAAAATATGAGAAGAGGAAAAAAATGGAAACAAGGTCTTTGCAAATAGGGAAGGGTGGAAGGGGTGAAGGGAGGGCAAGGGAAGGGGAAAAAAAATAAGAACCAAGAGATTCACGTAACAGTACAAGATCCCAATGATGAATGTAACTGTATTTTATACCTAAAATGTACCAATAATGTTAATGGGGGGAAAAAAAAGTAGCTGACCAGATAAACCAGATAGGAAAGAATGAGCTCAATTTAAATACAGGAAAATATTCAAAAGGCCTCAAAAGCAACTTCCCTTGTAATCCTTAGCTCCATTCACACATAAAAAAAAGACATGCAGTAATAAATTTAAAAATAATTTATATTAAAAAATCATAAAAACAAATAAGGTAAAGAATTTTCCAACACCATTTTAAAGGGAGTCAGCTAAAAAAACATTAATTACTCTCTTCCTAGAAAAAGAATTAACTACCCCAAAAAAAACACTCTCCTTTGGGGTGTCAGATATTCAGTGGCATACAGAGGTGATTTCTAAGAATTGCTTCAGCCTGGTACAAGACCTTTACTATATGTGAAATCCTGGCAATGTTCTGGTGAGATCACCTTAGAGTAAGGCCTTTTTGTTCATCAATAACAAAACTTCCTTGCAAAAGTTCAATTGGATTCATTATATGCTAAATTTTGTTCTATGGCAAATGAGTATCAGCACAGAGACATCTGGTATATTAATTTAGGCTTAAAATAAAAAATTAGACGTCTTGCAACAAGCACCTTCTTTCTAGAACACTTGTACACTGGTTAATATTTAAGAACACACTGGATACTATGTGTGGCATCCCCACTTTATTAGCTGTGTTTATGAGCATATACACAGAGACTTATACATATTATGTCATGCACACAGAAATAAGGCAATAAGTTCAGAGTAACAATTACTGCTTTTTATAAACATTAAAACAAAAAGATTAAAGAGGCCACACCAGAAATCTAAGATTTAACCAGGAAAGGACTTGTCACTTTTACAATGAGATGAGTTAGAAAAACAAAAACACTGCTACTCACTTAGAATATTTTAGACACTCTTGAGAAGACAATCAAAGAAAATCAAAGATATAATTTCACAACTGTTGTCAGCCAAAACCATCCCATGGACATTTATCAGGATCGGCATATCTAATCATAAATAAGGGATGCAGAGCTCCTTCCGTATTAAAATATGCTCAGATAGTTTATTTCACATATCTTGTTTTACATATACTTCCCGCCATGTAGTTAGTTTCTAGTTATAAGGGCACTTCTTACTGTCATGCTAACAAAATAAATATTCTCCTTCCAAGTGTGAAAGTCATGTTTCATAAAATAATATTTTACAAATTATATGAGCCATGGGACAAAAGGATACAGTAGTTGCTCCAACATTTAAGAAAAAGAGTCGCCCATTTTCTAGACCAAAAACTTAAAAGGTGTATCACTTAGCTGAAATATTCTCTTCACATACTGTAAATTCAATTGTATTATGACTTGGTTTTCTTTGTAAGGCAAAGATTCATCAGAAATCTACTTAAGAATTTCAGAAAAACTTCAATAAAACTTAGAAGAACATTTCACGGGGGTTGCTATATTTCAATGTGAGAGTAAAGATTTCTTCATTCAAAGTAACTAACCTAGTAGAACACAAGTTAAAGCAAAACATACTAAATCTGAAAGAACAGATACAGATTAATGGAGTTGCTAGTATGATTTCCACCATGATTTTCCACACTTAATTCTCCTGACTAAATTCCTCTACGCTAACTTAAGAAATTTCTTTATCACTAAGAACTTAATTCTTCCAGGCAGAAGAGGAAAAGGATGCAAACAATTTATAAAGCTCAAATAGAATAACCAGTATCTATCAACCTAAATTAGTCCCAGCCGAAGTCTTTGGCCAAAAGAGAAACATTACATTAGTCATTCCTACTCAAGAACTTGATCTGGTACTGAGAAAAAGACTGCAGAGGACTTTGGGTCACATTTGAAGAGATAGTAAACACTTATATTCTTATTATGAACCCTACTGCAAGTCCTATGCCCAGTGTCAGTTCTGAAGAAACAGGCAAAACCATTTTTGAGGTAAGTCTCAAACTTGGAGAGGAAACTGAAATAAAGCAAAAAAGTGCTGGGGAAAAATATCACTAAAAACAAGATCTTGTCAGGTACCTAATGAGAACTCCGTGGGTAAGTATGGCAGAGTAGCACAAACAAGGGCATAAGCTGACAAGGAACAAGCCCATGGTGGCAAAGACTGTACTTACAGTCTATGAATGGTAAAGTGGGGAAAACCTTATGTAAAGAGGGTATTCTACAACATTTTTGTTGGTCATTTTCCTTTCTTGGTATCGTGGACACGTGACAGTTTACCTGCAAGCCCAAACTGCCTAAAACTGAACAAGCCCAAACCGGAGCAGACACACTAAGAAAGCACCTTTATTGTTAAATGTGCTTTCAGGAGTATGCATCTGCTTCCTGTACTTCCTGGTGATTCAGCCACCTCCTCACCTCTCTCTCCAACCCCTGAGCACTGGAGACCGACCGAAACGCAAGATTTAAAGATTGCTCGATTTAGTACAGTACTTACACGGATTGTATGTGAAAGCTAAAAAGAACATCAAAGGCACCGGGAACTGCCTTTATTCGTGGGCTGGGCATGTGAATCATTTCTCAGTCCCTGCCAGTGCTGGAACCCACATGTCAACGTGCACAGGGTTTTCTTACCTGCATAGAAGCGGATAAGGCAGCCAATCTCTGAGTCCATGCCTTCTTCCTGCACCCTCCACAGCTCCCCAAATCCTAGTTGGAAGAGGTAATCATTTTGGATCTGCAATGGCTTCTCGTCCGCCTCCAGGCGCCGGGTGGTCTCTCCGTGGAGCTGCATGTATAGGGTGGGCGGCAGAGGTCCCTTCTCCAAGGTCCCTTTGCTCCTCCCGGGGATCAATAGGGCCCCCCCCAGGGCTGCCGCTGCCGCCTTCTGCCTAGGCCCTTCGCGATCCGCCCCGTCCCGGCAGTCGACGCCCCCAGAGGCTGTCTGCTGCGGCCGAGGCTGGGCAGCCGTCGGGGAGGGCGGCCGGGACTGCGCGGCGCGGCCGGAGCAGCGGGGCTGGCCGGGGTTGGCCTCAAGGTCCTCCGAAGACGAGGAACCGCTGCCACTGCTGTAGGGGTCCAGCCGGTCAGACACGCTCTCGGCGCTGGGGCTCAGGCTGAAGCTCTCGGAGTCAGAGACCACACCGTCGAGACGCCGCGGGGCGCCGGGCGGGGAGGCAGCACCCCCCGGGCGCGGCTCCCCGGGACTAGAGTCAGAGGGCGCGGGGCTGGCGCGGGGGCCGCCGGCTGGCAGCGGCAGGTCAGCGGGGGGCGCGCGTGGAGGGCCCCCGACGGCGCCCGAGTCTCGGCATTCAGGGGGCTCGAGCCGAGGCCCAGCGGCTGTGGGCCTGGGCCCCTGGCCCAGCACCTTCACCACGCCGCCGCCTTTGTGGCCCAGCTGCAGGAGGCGGGCGGCAACCTCGCCGGCCGTGGTGTCCAGCGTGCAGAGCACCGGGCGCAGGCACGTTGAAGCCATGTGGCGGTCGAAGATGTGCACACAGCCCCGCTGGAGCTGGTGTCTCACCCAGTCCCGGTCCGACGGCTGCAGCTGCAGCAGCTGCCTGTGCTTCTGGAGCAGCGTCTTCCTGTCCAAGCTCCGGGTGCAGAGCGATGCCGAGGCCGAGCAGGAGGCGGGGAGGCCGGTGGCGCTCGGGCTGTTCGAGGAGGCAGCCGAGGAGGACAACGACGACGAGGACGACGACGAGACGGCGGCGGCCGCGGACAAATTTCTCTTCAGCCGCCCTCTTCTCAGCAGGAGGGAGTTGGCGCCGCTGCCGGCCGCGGACACCGGAGCAGCCGCGCCAGCGGTGGGCTGGGGCGCCCCGCGCCGCCTCCTGCGCCCCGTGCCCCCAGCCCTGCCGGGCAGCGGCCCCGGCGGCGCCTCGCTGGGGGCCTCTTCCCGCGCCCCGCCGCTCCCGCAGCTCGCAGCCGCCGGGGTCAGCGCCAGCTCCGGACTCTGTCCGCCCCCGGCCGCCGCCGCTGCCGCCGCCACCGCCGGAGCTCGGTCCTCCCCGGAGCCTGGGTAGGGGAGTCGCTGCGCCGGGGCCGCGGCGGCGGGCTCCATTGCAGTGGGGCTTCTCGTTTCCCCCCCAGCTCCGGAGGCAGTGAGCTGAGAGGGAGAAGGTAAGGCGAAGGTGGGATACGGCAGCGGCGCCGCGCTGAAAAGGGAAAAGCCAATGGCGTTCGGCGCGGCCGTTCCAGGGGATTATGTGGCAATTCGGAGCATTCCGTCGGTGTCTTGGTGTCCCATCCCGCGCGCCCGCCTTACGGCCACCGCCCCTCCCCGCCGTGAGGGCTCCCCAGCGGCAGGCCCCGCCCGCTCCCCCCGCCTCACGCCAGCTAGCCAGCCGCGAATCCTGCCTCATTGAATATTAATCACGCGCGGGGAGTGGGAAGGCGGGTGGCGGGCGGGAGCTCCGCGCGGGCCTCATGAATATGCATAGCTCGAAGGACGGCATTCCAGGGGGGAGTGGGAAGAGCCGGAAGACGGTGGGAGGTGGGGCCTCAGGGTAAACAAACGTGACGTGTGCGTACGGGGGCGGGGTAGGGCCGTTTCCCGGGAGATTCCTGACCAGGCTCGGGAAGGGCGGTGGAGAGCGGGGAGGGGGGTGCGCGATGCACCCTGGGAGTTGTGGTGCTCTTCAGGGGACGGACATGCCCGAGGGACGCTTGACGGACTACAAGCCCCAGCAATCCTGAGGTTCTGCTCCTCCTTTCCGCCTGCCGCTGGGCAGTGGCCGGGGGTATTGTGCCCTCTGCTGTTGAACTCTGTGTGGGGGAATGTTCTTCATAAACTTGTACCTTAGTAGGCTACTGTGCTGGCCAGAGTACTTTTATTTTCCCTACTAATTGAAAGTAAGGGCCGTCAGGGACTTTAAACAGTACGGAAGATACAAATACCCTCTGCACCGCAGGCTCAGTAGCAATCAGTGTGGGCTCTCCTGACTTCTTTCGTACTTTTTCAACGCCCGGGAAGACAGGCAGTGTCTGGAATTCTAATTTAAATGATTAAATGTACTTGGTGGAAATGGCTCAACCCTCAACCCACGCGCTCCCTCTCCTGTGAGGAGAAAAACAGCAAAGGAACTGGGGTCTCGTTTCCCCCTTATCTTGAAGTATGAAGTAGTTTAATGACGCAGAAAGCCGTATAAGAATGTTAGAATGGAGACATAGTGGGATGCAAGATGGGCAGCTTGTAGATGTTTTAAAAGTCTTCCCTGTTTTTTTCTTCCGGTATTCGGAAAAAGTTATTTTTTACTGCTACAGTGTTTATGGTCTGAAAAAGTTGCTTTCTTCTTTTTCTTCGTCAGTTGAAGTAATGTTGGCTGGAGTAGAGCAGTTTACTAAAAATTATTTACTAAACATTTTTAATTAAATACTATTCTCCTTGATTGCTTTATAAATGTGTATCTTTACATGTGAGACTTTTAAATAGTTGCAGCTGCATACTATCCAGGACCTGCTTTAACTTCAATAAAGTTTCTTAACTTGGGTGCGAGGAAAGAGAAAAAGAGATCAACTGGAACTTGTAGTAAGGAAAGTTGTACTTAGGTTAACCACAGAACATGGAAGAGAAATGGAGAAAACCACGAGGACAAAAAAATTAAATATTTTTCACTGATACTTGAAATTTCTGAAAATGATTTTCTGTGTTTTTCTTTGAAAGTCTTACCCCTTGGGTTCGTGAAATCAATTTTTATTTCACTTAGAAATCAACCACAATATTGAATATTAGGGAGACTGCAAGTTCCCATAAGAGAGTTATGTATTCAAGTCGATTAATTTAAAAAATAATTATAAAAATATGTCACTGTGTCACAGCAATTTAATAATTTAAAAAACAACATTCAATGAGTGAGACAGAAGTACAGAAGGGGAAAATGCAAATTGCTAAGGATACAGACAAAAAACAAAGGAAATTAACCTAGTTTAGGAAATCGGAGAATAGAGAACGAACTTCGAATACAATTTTCTAGAGTGAAAGAAAATGACTGTTTGTTGATGGATAAATGGGAGAGACTGAGAAAGAGAGAAAATGATATTGAGGATAAATTTCAGCTGCACTAATTCATGAGTAGTCTTGAATAGTCCTTAACATTATTAGTTCTAGAAATGGAAAGAATATTTTAACTTAATAAGATTAAAAGCAAAACACATGTTAAATTAGTACTAAATTAGTACTAAAACACCTCTGTATATTCAGTAGTTCCTTAGTTGGTTTCCTACAAAGCCTCTTTAATTTTTGCTATATTAAGAAATGTGTATTAACTCCCGTATATCTAATTTCTAGAATTATATTTTAGCTAATGTAACAAGCTCTATGTAAGTTTCTTGTAATCAAAAATTCAGTCACCACTAGCTAAATGTCCATTAACATCCTTTCTTAAAAACTTATAGTACTGAATTTAATCTGCATTTGATTCCTGTCATCTAGCTTTATACAGCTACCACAGCTCTGCCTTTTTATCCTCTAAGAATTTTGCTTATTCTTTGAAGGTATTTATAATCAAAACATATTCAGAAAATTTTTGAAGAAAGGGCAATGCTTAAAAAATTTAGTGTCCAGGGCTGGGGATTTAGCTCAGTGGCGCCCCACCTGCCTGGCAGGCACAAGGTCCTGAGTTCCATGGCCGGTACCAAAAAAAAAAAATTTAGAGTCCGAAATATTGGAGTAAGGAGGGGTTAGGGAAGCATTATACATGTACTCCTGGCAGATAGGAAGTTGGTTTCATGGATACCTGTAATCAAATTTGGGGGTTGAGGTGGATAATAAAGAGAGTTAAAGTATCTCCACGAAAAGAGAAAGGATGCCTGCTGCGCAAGCGCAAGGACCCGAGTTCGATCCCCGGTATCAAAAAAAAAAAAAAAAAAAGAGAGAGAGAAAGGAACTATATTCAAACCTTACCCAAAAATGGGTTTGGGGGTAAAGAATACAATTTTTCCAGATTTCAAGCATAGAATCTATAATCTGAAAGATGGCATATTCTGTTACATTCAGGATAATAAAAATCAGAGTGGAGAGAACAGCAGCAGGATAGAGGTCCAGAATACAAATCCTTCATGACATTAACTAAACTTGGGGGCTGAGAGGAGAAAAAGAGGGGGGAGACCTTAAAGACAGTCTCTTAACACTACATCAACCAGAACCTTGTAATTGAAATAAATTGATAAAAGGCAATGAAACTTTCACTCAGTGCTTGCTAGTGTTAGGGAATATCATCCAGACCATCTGTGCAAACCCATACTATACGGTTTCTGTGAACAAGAAAAGGATTTTGATAAAAGGCAAATATTTTTTCAGCTACCCATGAAATAGCGTCTTCTCCCACTTAAAAAGTAAAGTGGGGAATATGCCAGTATCCTAAAACCATGTTAGTCCCTGCCCCTGAGCAAAAGTGTTCCACACATACAACCTAATACTGTGCCACATTTCTGACAAGCCACACTTATCAAAGAATCACATCTCCAAATGCTAAAAGATAATCCTGAAAAGAAACATCAGATGTAACGGTTCTAAACTCTGATGCCAACTTAAAATATTTTCACAGCTAAATTTAGAGAAACAACATAAATTTCAATTTACTGTCAGTTTACTCTCTGCTCTGTGATTTATAACTGACTCACTGTGTTCTGCATCTAGGTTAATCCTGTTTTCATCCTTAAATTTAAGATAAAAGAAACCATCTTTGGAATTTTTTTCTAGTATAAGCAGTTGGAATTTTAATAGAGGCATGAATTGATAGCTGGGATGGTTTCGGTCTGAATTGTTAAGGGCTCAGCTGTGTCCAGAAATAAACTCAGAAAGATGCAATATACAGTGTAATACATTTAGTACATTATGAACAAGGGATCTAATTATAGTTCCACATTTTTATATCCCTTGAGCTACTAGTGGTTTACCATGCCTAAATTGCTCACTGTTTACTCATTCTTTTTTACTATGAGGGACCCATTTAGTAAATTACTGTTCTAGTGCACTAAATGGGCCCCAGGTGGCCAAACTGAATTAATATGTCCCCTGTTCACTGGCAGGATAAAACCTTATGGTCTTTCTAAAATTTTACCCCTCCCCATAAAACTTACCATTTGAATTCTATCAAGAGCTTAGATTGGCACTTTCATCTTAGGTAGTATAATTTAAAGATATGGCTTAATGGCATTTCAAATTTTAGTGTACCCTTTTTAATTCCATAATTCTTTATGTTTTTCTTCTTACATCCTGCCTCACTAACATAAACAGATGTTCTGTATATCACAACAATGAAGTTTTAGACCAGAAATATAGGCCATGTAGACCCAACACCTCCTCCTAACAATGTAAATTACTGGGAACATTCATTCAACAAGTATTTATAAAACTTTTATGTAAAGATATCATTCACCTTAAGTAAATAGTATAAACCAAAATACCTGCCCTGATGAAGGTTATTGTGTATAGGCATTGCCCTTTGTTTTAAAAAACCTTCAGCTAAAATCAACCTACTCTCTTCTTTTTGCCTTGTTTTAGGTAAATTGAATATATGAAAACCTAGAGATGTAAATTATACATGAATATAAATATTTCTTCCAAAGTATTATTTATTCTTTCCCTTAAAAATGAGCTCATCATACAATTGTTTTAAATACTCTGATAATATTAATACATTAATTTTAAAAAATTGATATACATTCAGCTTTTTCAAAACATATTTTGGGTTCTAAATGTTCCAAGCACCAAATATCTCTTTCCACCAAGATTCTCATTTAATAAATATCCTTCCCATATCAACTCAAAGCCTTTCTTCCGATTCTTCCAGGACTAAAAACAAGAGAGTATTCTCCAGGTATGATGCCGCATACTTATAATCATTTATTCCCTGAAGAAGCAGCCTGGGTATTCTCTTTTTTGCCCCACAGGGAGAGATATGTATAGGAGATACCATCAGTCCATAAGCATCTTGCCTTTCCCCTTCTACCTTCTGCCACATCTAGTGGTCTAGACCCCTCAGTATATTTCCAAGAGCTGACATAACAAAGTGGCTCAAAATAACAGAATTATATTCCTTTACAGTTCTGGAGACCAGAAATCCAAAATTAAAATGTTGGCTGGTCCACTTTCTCTCAAGTCTCTCTGGATAGAATCTTTCCTTGCCTTTTCCAGCTTCTGCTTGGCATCACTCTAATCACTGCCTTCTGGTTTCTGTTGTCATATGGCCTTTTCCTGTGTATCAGTGCATCTGTGTCCAAATTATTCTTG